CGTGTTGCAGTCTATGGGGTTGAAAGAGTCAAACACGACTTAGCGACTGACCACCAACAATGAAATGATCTGTCACCATAACCCAGCATTCTCCAATGGAGTGGCTCAGAAAAGCAAATAATACTGCCTTTCCTGAAGGACCTGTGAGCCTAACCTCCCCTATCAGCCTACCCTAGAGAAATTTGATTTCTAGACATGGAAAGTTTGCTCAGGCAGGACCTTCCACTAAGGAAAGAATTTAGCAAAAAAAAAAAAATACGTACAGTCAACACCAAAAGTTGCCCTTCGCGTTAATCCAGTCTTACAGATGGATTTAACATACAGGTTTCAAATCAACAAACCTTTATTGAGGGTCGTTATGTGCCAGGCATGGAGCTGGGCACTGGGGATCTAAAAATGAAAAAGACACAGTCTCTTTCAGTCTGAAAACATTTTTGCTGGCTTGCAGGTTTTTCACCAGATCCTCCCAGACTTACCAAAGCATTCCCCTCGACTTAGAACACTCAAGCCCTTCTTTTCAACCGATGTCCTTAATGCCAGAATACACACAGGGCAAGGAGAAGTGGGTGGTTATAGATTTCCACTCAATTTGGAAATTAACAGCCAGTGATGAAGCAAAAAGTTGCTAGACTGGGAATCAGAAAGCTCGATTTCTAGTTTCAGGACAGCCACTCATGCAACCCCGAACCAGTCCTGTGACCTCTCGTGTCTTCAGGTTAAATGGATTGTTGTGAGGATAGAGTGAAAACATGCTAATCCACAGAGCTCTGTGCAGATGAAGGGGATGCTATTTTGATGGGTTGCGGAAAGAATGCAGGGAAAGGCTGGTTTTTGAGCTGTTTATGCCACTTTTTATAAAGCTTTAATAATGTAGCAAGCTGACCCAACTCAGCAGTCTTCCAACCGACCTTATTGTATAGTCTGGGTTTTTTTTTTTTTTTGTCTCTGCCAACATTGGATGATCAACTGCAGAATTTTCTGTTATTGGGGGTTGGCAGTGTAGAAAGGGTCCCCATTCAGGGCCACTTCTCAGTAAGAAGCGAGAAACTTGGGAGCCTGGAAGAGTTAGTCCTCACACAGTCCTGACTCTATGGCTGACTTTGGACATGTCTGTAAGGAAGAAAAAAAACGTCTTCGTTTGCTATTCAAATGAAGAGATCAGAAGTTGTTTTCTGTTTGCTTGCTTGTTTGCCCTTCTGATCATTTCACACCTCAAAGCCAGTGCCTACTTTGAGGAAATTTTCAGCAATTATTATGATTTAATGAGTCTTCTTTGGCCAATCCCTGAAGGTAAATAAGAAAAGTGAAAAAAAAAATTTAAAAGTCAGCTGAAACCACAGCTTTCCTTTGCCAAAATGTATTTATTAATTAAAGGACAGGGGCAAAAAAACATGACATAGCCAGCACTGTTATTCCCAAAAGGCAACTGAACCACAAAGCTAAGCACTGGAATTTATAGACTCCAGTGGGAGCTGAAAAATCCCAGATGTGAGGGTAGACCCGGCATTCATGGGTCTCTTGAGGATTTTCTATGAAGCACGCTCAGATACTGCCTTTGTCTCCACTTGGCTATCTCTGCACCTCACAGACACAACCATGCCTTCTTCAGGCCGGACTCCACCCTCTTCCTTCTGGTGGTTTCTTTCTTTCACTCCAGGAGCCTGAGTGGAGGGCGCTGTGTTTCCCCAGGTGCTGAGCTGTGAAAGTACAAGGACAGAGAGGGTACCAGCCGTCTCCAGACACTCTCAGCGTAACAGGCTCCGTTAGGAGAGCAGCTAGGTGAAACTGGTGGGTGTATGAAGACAACAAATCCAGGGAAATTTCTCTTTGAAGTTTCAAGGTGGCTCAGAGGCCTCCTAAAAGTTTTCCATCTTTTGGAAACATACACATGTGCGCGCGCAGAGAGATGTACCCTATATGTTCAGGCTGGCGCACATAGCAGATCCACATGATCGAATCTTTATAGTAGTTATGAAAGACCCAACTCAGGGCTTCCCTGGTGGTCCAGTGGTTAAGACTCTGCGATTCCACTGCAGGGGATGAAAGTTCGATCCCTGGCCCGGGAAACTAAGATCCTGCATACTGCATGGCACAGCCAAAATATTTTTAAATAAAAACTTAAAAAACAAAACCGAAGTTACTGCACTTGAAAAAGATTGCTTCTTTAAAAAAAAAGAAGACCCAACTCCATGTGGAGTACTTAAGACAAGCTCACTGGCCTTGGTCCTTCTACTAGGGGGTTCTGACCAAGGTGAGGAAACACTGATGCTATGAAACCAACCAGAGGGAACACTCTGTCTGCCCCCATGGTGAGCAGGCCCACGAGCTTATACTGTGAGCTCTGTCGAACCATAAGCAACATGAAGGATTAAGAGTTTGGGCTCAGTAGTCAGACTGTCTCAGACCCAACTTGTGGCTTCTCCACTTACCAGCTGTGTGACCTTGAGCCAAGGTACCAAATTCCAATGTCACATCTGTAAAATGGTGATAATAAGAAAGGCTGCCTCACTTTGGAAAGATTAAATGCATGCTAGATAACTTAACAGTCCTTGCACTGAAAAAGCACTCAGAAATGCCTAAAGATGATAATGATGATAAAGTCACATTCACCACTGGTAACTCCTATGCCTGGTACAGAAAACTCATTCCATAAATGCAGAAAGTAAGGAGCAAGGGTGACATAAATACACAAATGAGGATAGGATACACAAATGAGCTCAAACTAGAGCCTTAATTTGGACACAAAGCACTTGCTTCCTAGGTTTCTGTAACTCAGAATTTCAAAACCTTTTAATTGGAAGCCTAAAATTCAAATTTCTGTAGCAGCCAGGCAGGTAACATAAAAGAATGAACTGGCATTTAGAGTCTGAGACAAAATGGAGAGCTGTGACCTCCAGCAGTGAGGGGTAGCCCTGCTCAGCTCCAGAAGAATATCACCTCACTTTGAGAGAAGCCAGAAATCCAGACTTCCTTGTGAAATAGACCAAATCTTAAAACAACTAAGTCAATTTCTTTTAAAAAAAATTACCCTCAGGTCAAATAACACATAGCCCGCCAGTCAGATCTCAGACTGCCCGCTTGCCTCCCCTGCCTTAATGGAAGCTGCTCTGTATTTGAGTCTTCTTTTGAAATGTTCGCCAGGGGACCCATGAGATGTGAGCTCCTCAACGTCATCTCTGGGGTCCTGCTTCTCAAAAGATCCACGTGGAGTTAGTTCTCCACTTCTTGATGGTTATGTTCAACAGTATATACCCACCTAACGAGGGCTGCCTCACTCCCCAAAGGATGCTGATAATAAGTATGGATTTTTAAAGCATGATTGTTTTCTGGCTGAAATAACAACAGCCTCCAAAAATTCCTAACAACTTCCTCTAGTACTGCTCTTACGGCAATCTGGAGAGAGACTGATTCCATAGTTCACGTAGCTTTGTTTTGTTTGGAGGGAAAGTCTGGCATTTTACAAAAATGTAGAACACTTAGCACTGGAATGACTTTTCCATAGCGCTGATTATTGTAGAGCAAGACACTTAACCATATGTCTTCGAAATGTGATTTTAAAAATTCTCTGCTAACCATAAAAGGCAAACTGCCCTCTAGTCTTTCCATATGAAGGTGATAATTTTCTGCAGGCTCACAAAAGCTGCATGGGTTACAGCCCAGTACTTAGGGGAAACCTCATCACAAATGAGAGACTTGGGCTCCAATTCAGCTCTGTCGCTTACTCACTAGCCATGACCTTGGGCAAGTCATTTAATTTTCAAGAGCTTCTATTTCCCCATCTGCACGATAGGGGCCATGACACCCCACAGGCTGATTGGGAATATTAAATAAAATAACATACATATGGGCATAATCCAAACCCATAAGAGATATTTGCCATCAGTGTTGATTGCATCTGGATCTCTGCTTCTCCTGTGACAAAATAGCACTCCTACTTTTTAATTTTTTATTTTTTTTAGCACTATTTCTGACCATGAAATAACCCCCTGGCAATGTCATTTACCTTCCTATTATTTGGCAGCTCTGTGGAAAACAAAAGGACTGAGAAGCCATAACTGTTTCATATAAACTTTAGGTTGTGTGTCCACAGTGGTATGAAAACTAGAGGGTGGAAGACAGAATGAAACCGGTCAGAGGGGAAGAAAGGGAGGAGGGAAGAGGCAGGACCGGAGACCTGGGAGCACTAATATGTAAGGGACAGACAGCCCTGGGCCTGGAGCACTGAAGGAGCGATCAGGAGAGCAGGACCACCGGGGAAACGCTCCTGTCGACGCCACAGGAAGGCAGTTCCAAGGTGGCGTGCGTGGCCATCGGTGCCGTGAGGTCATGCTAAGAAGTCCTAGAAGGCCTGAAAGATGCCGCTGAGTTATCAACAAGGAAGCAAGAGCAATTTGACTCCACTGGAGCACTGAGGGGAGAAAAATCAGGGTTTGATGAGTCCTGTCACGTGTACATGTTGAAAATCTGGTGATGACAAGTTTAGACAACTGACCTTCCCTGGTGGCTCAGCTGGTAAAGAATCTGCCTGCAATGCAGGAGACCTGGGTTCGATTCTTGGGTCAGGAAGATCCCCGGGACGTCCATATTTTCAAATGAAAGAAACCAAGATGATTAGGAAGTGGTGAGACAGCCTTTTTCTGTGCTTCCTTCTGAAAGTAACAGGAAATGAAAGATAAAAAGCAGGTAGATCTTGTCAAAAGACTGTATCACTTACAGGTAGCACTGAATCCTGATCAAGTTCCATCAGTTCACATCTCACAAAGGGGATGTCAGCTGGTTTAGGTGTAGTCGTCTTGTGTTGACAGTAACACCTGGGATGCGATGAAATCTTTCCCAGCGTTGCTGGGAAGCCACTTTTCCCTTCTAGTCCTGGTCTGTTGGTTGAGTTTCTTTCCTTGGGAGCTGCCAGGGTCACCAGATAACTCAGGAGCTCACCTCCACCCTCTCTAAGCTGGGATATCGCAGGCTCTGGCTCATGTGCAACCCCGCTTCTCTTCCAGAGCATAGGAAGCTTGGAAACATGACTGTGACCGTGAAGAAGACCGTCCCCTCCGCCGAGGCCGTGCAGATCCTCTACCAGCGAATGAGGTACGAGTACGATTTCTACCACTACGTCAAGGAGCAGTTCCACCTGCTGAAGCGCAAGTTCGGACTCAAGTCTCGGGCCGGCCACCTGCCGCTGAGACCCCAGTTCTTCATTCCGACCCCACTGGAGACCGAGGAGCCCATCGACGACCAGGAACAAGACGACGAGAAGTGGCTCGAAGATATTTATAAGAGGTGATGCCAGCGCTGCGCTGCCTCCAGTGGCTTAATCTCCCTTTCCAGAAAGTGTGTGTGTGTGTGTGTGTGTGCTGGGGGAAGAAAAAACTCCTTAAGGGACGAAATGAATGCTTCACAGCATTAAAAAGAACAAGCGTTCCCACAGGTTGGGGTCACTGGGAGATGCCCGGTTTTGCGGGTTTTATTTGTTTTAATTTTATTCTGTGTTTTTCTGGCTCCTTGGGTCCTTCCCAGGTACACTAGACGGCTCCATCATGAGGCATCTTGTCATAAAATAGCTTTTCTTCCCCGAGTATAAATGAGAGAAGAGGGAGAAACAGAGCCTACAGCCCAGAAACTCATTATTCGTCACCTGTAAAAGTATTACCTCAGTGGTTGAAAATGTCCAGACTTGTATATTTCAGTAAAAACACAAAACCACTGCAGGAAGCCTACTCTAGAAGGCTCTAAGAGGAAATGGTAAGACAGATAAGGACATCAGAAAGGGAGGATGTCCCTGGATAAGTTATTTCTGCCCACACGGGTAGAATTCTGCCCCTGGTCCATCTCGGGGGACACTTTCACCCAGAGCAGCACATGTATTGTCTCTGAAAGAGCAAGTCGGCTTCTGCCACACCTTCGATCAGCCCAGAGCCTTGAGTACCTCTCAAGGTCAAAGTGCGTGGCAGGCTCCATTGAGACATTCTGTTCACAAGCTCCATTCTGCCAGACTTCAAAGTAGCATAGCCAGGAAAGGAATTTGTTGGCTGTGTAAGGAAGAGCATAGGCAAGACAGATTGACTCTGAAGGACATGTGGCCTAGGAAAATGGCATGACTATGTCCTTTCCCCCTGGTACGAAACATCTCTCATTGGCATTGTTTTACCTGGAAATCCAGGAACTGATTGTAGCTCTGACACTTGATTCCTGTGACCTAAGTTCTAAGCCTGACCACAGACGGCATGATCTACCAGGCACACCCCTGGCCAGCAGGGTCCCAAGTAGCTGGTGCCTTTCACCTTCTGGTCCCTTAAGAGGTACGTGTTTGGGGTAGAAAGTGATACTGAGTTCTGTGCAAGCAGCACTCAAACTGAAGTCAACCTATTATGGAAGCAGCTCCCTCCTGAGAAACCCTTACTAAGAGGTCAGTAAGAAAAGCAGGAGCTTCTGGGTAAGAGACTGCTTGGCCAGCTTCATTAGTAAGTGTCTGCCCCCAAAGTGATCTGAATAGAAGCTGGACAGGCCCATTCATTCAAAATATCTCCTCCCCAGACCATTCCCATCACCTGCCCCCTCTGTGTGATGCCTTGGTTCAATCATCAGCAATCTATTTCTTTGGATTTTGAAATGTCTTCATCTGTGACCATCCCCTTCCAAAAACACGTATACTTCTGGGCAGATAATACACAGTCGGCCTACAAGCGGCAGTGCAGGTGGTGGTGGCAGGCAGGATCCTAGGGACAAATTTTGTCTCCTTCAGGTTTTTTCCCCTAGAGCCAGCCCTTCAGGAGCATTAGCAAAGTGTGAGTTGGGAATACTTCACAGTAAATAAGACTCAGACTTTACACAAGCTACACATTTTCTACTTTTCAGAAACCAACAAGTCTCTCTAGAATTTTTTCTTCGTTCACTACAATTGGACGGTAGCCAAGATATAAAGCAAGTCATTTGGAACCTGTCAAGTGTGCACTAAAGCTACTTTATCATGAGATGTATTGAGAAGGCTCCACCCTGCAGGAGTCCAGTGAAGGCTGGGACCACAGAGGCACAGAGTCCAGCATTTGGCCACTTGTGAGCCTCCTTTCTGTCTCAGAGAACTGGAGCAGGAAAGTGATGCAGGGAAATGTGCTTAGAAGAGGAAATATCCTTTGTCCTGTTTAGAGAGACCAGGGCCCTATTGTTAGGCTTACTTTAAAAATCAACCCAGAGAACAGCTGTCATAGTCAACCTAGAGTAAGAGGTATTGCCTGGTACATTGTGAATCACTCCTTTGAAATTGCCTATAAAGAACAATCCTTAGTTTACGCACTGTGCAATCCCACTATCTGAAAATAAGGTTCCCGGAGTGTTCTCTGCTGTTGTCAGAACATCAGGACAATTGGTCATCTTTAAAAAATGCATCCTCTTAATGCAAGTGCATGTGAGCACTTCTACCTGTGTGTTCAAAAGCAATTATTGTCAGCAGTAATCACTGTAACATCAGAGGCTGACTGATTTACTTACCAGGACTTGATGTAATTTTGCCCAACAAACAGCCTCTGGGCCCTAGAAGTCAAGGCACTTCATCAGTTTATTTGGCACACACGACAACATTTCTCTGGCCCTGAGCCCAACACAGTTTGTACTTCATGAAATATATTGTACATTTTACATAGTTTAATTTAAAAAATACATTTTAAGCTGGTTGATCTTTGACTGCCTTATTTATTATAACCTTTCAGCACATTCCAAGGTTTTAGTTACTCAGGAAGGAGTTAATTAAAATGATTTTATTTTGGTCTGATGGATGTTTTTTAAAAGGAAAATTATTATTATGAACCTTCAGCCTACTTTCCCTGAGTGCCCTAAAAGTGCTTGTAAATCATTTTGTTTTTGTTTTTTTTTCAAGAAGAAAGAAAAAATGGTATTTGACATTGATGGAAATTCAAAAGTATATATGGAACTGAAACATTAGCTTAGCTAAAATAAAAGCAATCTGTGTTTGAGATGAAGTGTTCCTTAACTTATTCATTACCCGTGTAAATAAATGAATATAAATAAGTTGATATTTTTTTCCCATTCTGTTGAGAGCTGGAAATAGAAGTGCCTGCAGATTCTCACTGCCCCCTCAGCCTGCTTAATGGGCCAAAGCTCCTTCCTTAAGATGTGATTTGGGGAAAGATTCATTGCTAAAAATCTGGAAACACTCCTGTAGTTAGACTGATGCTTTTGTTGTTATGTGCAGTGGTTGGTCGGGTGTCGAGGTGCTTGGTTGGAACCCTCAGCCTTGACAGGAGGGATCTACGCCGCCCGCCTCTGGTCACGTGAGAAGATAGGACTTCCCGTCTCAGGTAGTCTGGTGTGTGCTCTGATCTCTTTCCCAAAACGTGCAGTGCCTCCACAGCTGGGTGGCTCTAACCTCCAGAGATGAACGGCTTCCGATCCACACGTGCTCTCTCTGAGAAGTTTCCCTGGGAGTCACAGAGAGACAGGGAATCTCCATGCTTCCTAGACACTGGACACTCCAGTCCGATTCCGCGTGACTGGAAGCAGAATCTTGGTACTAAATGAAAGCAAAATCTATTAGGGTGAAATAAAACGTGCTTTACTTCAAGTAAGAATCTGAGAGTCGTAAACAGCAAAGTGATAAGTGGTTACCTTTCTTTATCACTTAATTTGTCTGTAACCCGGTCACGGGCTGTTTGAGTGCACTTTAAAGGCAAAAGGACTAAACTAAACTAAGATTCTGTCCCACTCTGGAGCTGCTTGTGTGGTCCGAAGTTCTTTATAAATGGGCTGTTACCTGCAGGCCTATCCAATGAGCTATTTGGCCTCAAATGAATTTTATAGGTAATAGCAGTATTTCTTAAAAGGCAAAATGATGATCCATAGCCATTCAGGAAAAAGATTCATGTCAAAATGGTGAAACTCCCTTCAAGTTAAAATAAAGATTTATTTTACTAAAATAACTTACTTCCATCTGATAACAAAGAAAATGATTTTTTAAAGTATCTTGAATATCCTGCGAAAGAAAAGGCAAGTTTAAACTAACACCAGGGTTAAGAATCTGTTAAAAAAAAACAAAAACACACACATGGAGCTTCTTTCACAGCTCGGAAAGCTCACTGTGGTGTAAACCAGTGTATTCGTTTGCTAGAGCTGTCATAACAGAGTCCCACAGAATGGCTTAAACAACAGAAATGTATTTTCTCACAATTCTAGAGGCTGGAAATCTGAGCTCAAGATGTTGGCAGGATTGGTTTCTTCTGAGATCTTGCTTCTTTGCTTACACATGGCCATCTATTCCCTGTCTTCAGTTGGTCTTCACTCCATGTGCCTTCATGTCTATATCCAAATATTCTCTTTTTATAAGGATCCCAGTCTTAATTGGATTAAGGCCAACCCTGAAAATCTTGATTTTAATTTGACCCCTTCTATAAAAATTCTATCTCCAAATACTAATCACATTCTAAGGTACTGTGAACCAGGGGTCCACATATGATTTTCATGCGGACACCATTCAGCCCATAACACCCAGATTACAGCAGAAAAGTTAGAGCAGATGAGAGAAGCAAGCCTAAAAAGTCACAGATGCCCCCTGCCCCCCGCAACCCGAGAGCTGCAATAGGATCCAGCAGTCATCGGGTCCCTCATTTCGCAGATGAGGAAACCAAGATCCAGATGGAAGATGTAAACGCATCACAGGCTAACTTTTTCCACTCATATTAGTTTGTTTAACTTTTGAGTATCTACCAAACTAAAACTCTAAAATGGTGAGAGAGCCGGAGTCCATCTACTGACCTAGCATCAGTAGAAATAAGGCATATTTAGCCCCACTCAGTGCCTCCTGCCCCCTGAACTCAGCAAGCGAGTTGTCCTCTGTGGCTCTATAGGAGCCACTCTATAGGAGTTGGTGCTGTAAGATCCTCTTCTCCAGATGGAGGCCCTGTTGGTTTCCAAACACTTCAGTTCTTAGAGACCAGTGTCAAAATAAATATTTGAAATTTTTCTCTCTACTCAAGGGACCTGCTGTGCGTGCTAAGTTAATTCAGTTGCATCATGTCTGACTCTTTACGACCCCATGGACTGTAGCCCGCCAGACTCCTCTGTCCATGGGGTTCTCCAGGCACGAATACTGGAGTGGGTCACCATGCTCTCCTCCAGGGAATCTTCCCGACTCAGGGATCAAACCCCCAAGTCTCTTACATCTCCTACACTGGCAGGCGGGTCCTCACCACTAGCGCCACCTGGGAAGCCCACTCAAAGGACACCATGGTTCTTGTTTCTGGATAAACAGAGTTGGACCACATTTGCCCATCTCAA